AATAAACTTAAAGGCCTGTAACCCAAATGTCTTTTTTTTTTTTGAGACAGAGTCTCGTGTCATCCAGGCTAGAGTGTAATGGCATGATCATGGTTCACTGCAGCCTCGACCTCCTGGGTTCAAGTGAATCCTCCCACCTCAGTCTCCTGAGTAGTTGAGACCACAGGTGTGCACCGCCACACCCAGCTAATTTTTGTATTTTCTGTAGAGATGGGGTTTTGCCATGTTGCCCAGGCTGCCAAATGTCTCTTGAACTTTACAGAATTTGTACATTTAAAAAAAAAAAACTGTGTAGAAGCCCCTTAGGAGCCTGCATAAACTAGGCAGTGCGGACAGTGAACAAGACTAGGGGATGGTTTTTAAAAATTGGTTAAATGGACCCCATCAATAGCCCACTATGATAAATATTTTTCAGATCTCCTAATCATTTATGAAGTTCTACATATTTTTTATATAGGAAAATATGGCTCCTGGTCCTAAAATGTTTAATTTGGAAACAAGAAAATGGAAGTGGACATGTAGATCCTCTCAGGCAATTTATTAAGAGCCATCCACAGGAAGTGTTTGCTGTCATTTGTTTGGTGAAATTAAGTGGTGACCATAGCAAAATGGCATTTTAAAGAAAGAACTTGGGGCAAAAGTCAAAATGAAGTTAAAAGAAAGACCTTTGTCACTTAAAAGAAAGACCCTTATCACTTTAATAGTCCTTAAACAGTAAGAGGTTTACTCTCTCATAAAAAAATTTTTTTTTTCTGTCGACAGGCTGGAGTGCAGTGGTGCGATCTCCGCTCACTGCAACCTCTGCCTCCCAGGTTCAAGTGATTCTCCTGCCTCAGCCTCCCAAGTAGCTGGTACTACAGGCACATGCCACCATGCCCAGCTAATTGTTGTATTTTTTAGTAGAGATGGGGTTTCACGGTGTTGGCCAGGATGGTCTTGATGTCTTGACCTCGTGGTTTACCTGCCTCAGCCTCCCAAAGTGCTAGGATTACAGGCGTGAGCCACTGCGCCTGGCTTTTTTCTTTTAAACAGGATCTTGCTCTGCCACCCAGGCTGAAATGCTGTGGTGCGATTATGGCTCATTGCAGCCTCCGTCTCCCCAGCTCAAGCTATCCTCTTGCCTCAGCTCCCAAGTAGCTGGGACTACAGATGTGCACAACCACACTTGGCTAATTTTTTTTTTTTTTTTTTTTTTAATGAGACAGAGTTTCTTTGCTCTTGCTGCCCAGGCTGAAGTGCCAACGGTGTGATCTCGGCTCACTGCAACCTCTGCCTCCCAGGTTTAAGTGATTCTCCTGCTTCAGTCTCCAAAGTAGGCGAGATTACAGGCATGTGCCCACAGGCCCGGCTAATTTTGTATTTTTAGTAGAGACAAGGTTTCACCACATTGGTCAGGCTGGTCTCGAACTCTTGACCTCAGATGATTCACCAGCCTCAGCTTCCCAAAGTGCTGGGATTATAGGCATGAGCCACCATGTCTGGTCTCGGCTATTTTTTTTTTTTTTTAATTTTATATTCAGCAGCATCATTTAAGCATTTTGCTAGGAACAAAAGAAAAAAGAAAAAAAATATTTGTAGAGATTGGCAGGGGGAGTGTCTCACTATGTTGCTAAGCCTGGTCTTAAACTCCTGACCTCAAGTAATCCTCTTGCCTCAGCCTCCCACAATGCTGGGATTATAGGCATAAGCTGCCATACCCAGCTTCATAAAAACTTTTATTTAATTATAAAAGTTGAAAATCAACTTTGTAAAAGCCATATGAGCACATTATGGAAAGCCCGTAAAACAGACAGTTTAATTACTTTCAAAATTCCACTGAGAAATTCTGTTAGACAATATTTCAACATTACGTATGTGACATGTCTAGCTTACTTTCAAGTACATGTTAAATTTCATACAAAATTTTGAAAAGAAGGCTTTAATAACATATGGGACACATGCCACCCCTGGGCATCCTACACCAATCCTGACAGCCCCAAGTTATAGTAATAACTGGTACTCCTGCAGTAATGAGACAATGCCCAATTATGCAACATAATGCTTCCCAGTGAACATTATATTTGAATGTATATTCTGAAAATAGTGCAAGAAGTGCTAGTTTTTCCCTGATTTCTATGCTATCATTTCATATGAAAATTATACTCTTCACACATAACAAACTGCATCTTGTTTGGTAAGTTCACATGTAAAAAACCAAACTTTTATACATTTAAACGCTGTTAATAGGGCCAACGCTCAGGAGGACTGCAATAGTTCCTGGTTTTCTGTCAACATGAGTGCTGAAATAATTACTACCTATCTGGAAATAGATTTGAGAAAGTAAAGAAATGTAAAGTTCAAGATATATAGTGGTTGTGATATACTAGATGATTTTGGTTTGTTTGGAGACCTGGCATTAGAAAATATTGAAATTGTAGAGTGAAAAAGTTATTCAGTGTAGGTTGTTTCCATCCTTCCGTTCCTTTTAATATGAAAGTCTCTTGGGTGCTGGAATGTCATTAACACCTGTGGCAGATTAAAGATGGCTGTGCATGGGGCTGGGGAGGAGGAGAGACTTGTCTGTTTTGTTCCCTGCTGCATTCTCAATGCCTAGGGTTGTACTTGGCAGAAAAGGATATTCAGTAAGTATTTGTTGAATGAATGAACGAGCAAACAACGAACAATTTTAGCTAACTCTCAGAATCTTTAAACTTTTATTAAGATGCACCAATGGGAAAAACTAAGAATGATCTTTTACCTGATAACAGAGTAAAATATTTAAATGCTAGCAATTTAAATATAACTAAAAGCTGATAAAAATTTATCTTTAAAGATGGGTTTCCAAAAAAGTACAATGAAATAATTCCAGTAGTGAATTTTCTATAATTCATTGCCTCCCTTCTTGTTTCCACCCCTACATTATTTCTGAAACAAATTAAGGTACAGAAAATACTTTAAAATTATGTATAGGTCAGCCATGTGCAGTGGCTCACACCTGGAATCCCAGCACTTTGGCAGGTCAAGTTTTGAGACCAGCCTGGGCAACACGGAGAAACCCTGTCTCTACTAAAAATACAAAAATTAGCCAAGCATGATGGTGCAGGTATTCCAAGCTACTTGGGAGGCTGAGGCAGGAGAATTGCTTGAACCTGGGAAGTGGGGGTTGTAGTGAGCCGAGATCACACCACTGTACTCCAGCATGGTCGACAGTGAGACCGTGTTTCAAGAAAAAAAAATTATGTATAGGTCAGGCACAGAGGCTCACACCTATAATCCCAACATTTTGGGAGGACAAGGCAGGAGGATTGCTTGAGTCCAGGAGTTTGAGACCAGCCCAGGCTCATTTGAAAAAGGGAGACCTCATCTCCACCAAAAATTTAAAAAATTAGGCAGGAGTGATGGTACATACTTATGGTACCAGCTACTCAGAAGGCTGCGGTAAGAGGATTACTTGAGCCTAGGAGATCCAGGCTTCAGTGAGCCATGATCGCACCACTGCACTCCGGCCTGGGCGACAGAGTGAGGTCCTGTCTTGAAATAAACATAATAATGTATATTCCATATTGTTTTCCAACGGATCTAACATGGTTAGAATAAAATTAAGTTACTGATTCTCACAAGGAAAAAGGATTTAAGAGGAATAGAGTTTAGGTTTGATCACAGTTGCACTCCAATTCAACCTACCTCCTACCTACAATGTTTCAAGTGTGGGGTGACATTTAACCTAAGGCATTGTTAAGGGTGAAAGGGAGTGCCATTAAAATTCTGTGTCTATTCATGTGACAACATGCATAAACCTGGATTACCTTACACACATCTGAGAGTATGGTCACGCTAACTAAAGAGCTCTCAAAGTTGACAAGGCTTTTTCAAGAACTCACTAGGCCATGACTTACGTGTAACAACTAGTATTTCTACAGTAAATACTTCTGTATTTCTGTTAGCAATTTATATTTTATGAAGCACTTTCACATTTTATCACTTTATCCTTCCTAAAAATCCTATGAGTTAGCCAAGCATTTATTCATTCAATGAAGAGTTATTATGCCTTTTTTTCACATGAAAAAACTCAGAGAAATAGATATGACTAATGAAGACAGCACAGATATGTGTCAGAGTGAGGGCATAACATCAGATCTCTAACTCAGTCCTGTGCCCATCCACACACCACGGCAGCTACAGTCACTTGAACTGCACAATGTAGCATCAGAGAAGGGCTGCATGAGCCTAAGTCACGCACTCCTCTATGAGGGCAATTTACTTATGAACAGTAAGGCAGAATAAAGTTTCAGCAGCTCTTTTAAAGACTTGTGTTGGGGGACAGAAAAAAGATAGGAATTCAGGGGGATCTTTATTAAATTTGGATATCTGCTTTCCTTAGGTCCATGAAAACATGCAGTTTTCTAAGGAAGTCAAACTACTAATCATTTGGAGTTTGGAAGAACCATCTCCTACTTCTTCAGACTGTACAAACTGTTTTGGTCTGGGTGCAAGTATTCACATTTGAGAGCAATAGCCCTTCCAACATAACACGGAACGTAATGTGCTCGTAGTTCTAAAACACCACAAGGGACTTCTGAAATTTGCTTTTTGTTTTTGTTTTTTTGAGATGGAGTTCCACTTTGCTGCCTATGCTGAAGTGCTGTGGTGGATCTCAGCTCACTGTCACCTCTGCCCCCTGGCTTCAAGTGATTTGCCTGCCTCAGCCGCCCGAGTAGCTGGGGTTATAGGCATGCTACCATGTCCAGCTAATTTTTGTATTTTTAGTAGAGATGGGGTTTCACCATGTTGGCCAGGCTGGTTTCAAACTCCTGGCCTTAGGTGATCCACCTGCCTTGGCCTCCCAAAGTGCTGGGATTACAGGTGTGAGCTACCAGCGCTTGGCCAGCCATAATGTGTTTTAAATATAAAAGTCACAACTTGAATGTGAATAAATGTGTTCTAAATCAAAGAAATGTTCTAGAGTCTTATAATGAGTTTAAGTGCTAAAAGGTAAAAGGGGAAAGGAAATTTAGCATCAAGAGCATTTATATAGGTTGGCTTATCTGTATATATAAGAAAACAGATACAGGGATGCTCAAAAAGACAAAATCAGAAGTGAAATGTCTCCCTATTTAACTTGATTTATGCAATGTAAATGAAATGACTGTATATAAGGAGATGGCCGGTTAGGGTAGAAGAGATTTTTCTGGCTTCTGATCTCTATACACTGTGCAATCTCTCATCACACTGGTAGTTCGGTGTTAGAACGACCTATTAATATATTGGTTTGTCCATCATACTGTCAACTGGAGGGTAGAGATTATGTTTTTTAATAATATATTCCTCTTTGGGAGGCTGAGGTGGGCGAATCACCAAAGGTCGGGAGTTCGAGAACAGCCTGACCAACATGGAGAAATCCCATCTCTATTAAAAATACAAAATTAGCCAGGCGTGGTGGTGCATGCCTGTAATCCCAGCTACTCAGGAGGCTGAGGCAGGAGAATTGCTTGAACCTGGGAGCCAAGATGGTGCTATTGCACTTCAGCCTGGGCAACAAGAGTGAAACTCTGTCTCAAAATAAAGAAATAAATAATATATTCCTAGTACCTTCATGATGCTAAGACTAAATGAATAAATGAATTATCGGGGTATAAAAGTATAAACTGCACAGTAAAAACAATGGTAGAAATTAGAAGCAGTGGTGGATGGGGAGAACCAGAGAAATATAGCACCAACAATTAAGCTATGTTAAATTCTCATTGTATAACAAATGTGGCTTTTTTAAAAAAAAACAACAACATGTTTATTCATCTTTTTAATCCTCATGGCTCAGCACAGTGCCTGACACACAATAGGCACTCAACAATTATTTGATTTCCAAAGCATGACCATTCATGCATCCATAGTCCTCTTTTTATAGTATGAAGAAGGCTGATATCCAGGCCCCCATGTGTATTTTAAGGAATAGATAATTCCCAATAAGCTCTTCTTTTTCAAGGTGAGAAACAGTTCTCATGTTCAATTTCAAAATCAAGATGACATTCCGGTGAATGTATCACGTGTCATTAACAGACAAATACCAAACCATGTCTGCCTGCTTACCACTGCCGTTTCCATTTCCTTTATTTTCTCTGTCCATATGAAAGCAAGGTTTTATTACAGTTTTCACCATCTGTAAGAGCCCTGGACAATTTTTGATCCTGTAAGGGCTTTTTACTTCAGTTTTTGTCACATATTAAAGCTGTGTGTTGAGACTGAAGATTATCCACTATCTTCTCTTCTATCTCTATGTATTTTTCTGTTTCTTCCCCTGATAGCAATAACTTGGTTTCCGAGTCTTTGGTTATAATAACCACAAAGGACTGTCATGACTGAAGGATATTAGCCACCACCGCTTGATGCTGATACACTTCCAAAGCCTTCTGAGCTCGAGTAATTACAATGGAGGGGTCAGTCTCCAACTTAAAGGAAATTATAAAAGCTTTGGGAGCACAATCTTTAACCAAAGGAGAAGCATTTTTGACACCATCTTCATCGTTATCTGAAATGGGCCCCCTGATGACTGGATCGTGTATTCAGGAGTTTCAGAGACAGGAACATAGAAATCTGACATGGCCGCAGCCAGGTAAAACATCGAAGAACGGCCAGCCACACTTCCAGTGGGACCTTGGTGCTGCCTGACGTGACCAACACCAACTGCTGGCCCTGTGCGCCCAGCCCAGCTGTGAAGTGTGCCATAATCTCAGCCCAGCACGCAGCACTGGGTGGCCAGGGGAACTCAGTTACCAGGTCCATTTCCACCATCGGCCGAACCAATGTGATTTTCATGTTAAAGAACTTCTACCTCCATGGAGACACACTTGAATATAAAAGTCAAGGTCCACTAGAATAAGCTACATGGGGACAGGGTCCATGTTGTTTGCTCATACAGTATGTCTCTCATGCTTCCAGGCATAAAAGAACTCAGTAAACATTAGATGGTAGCTGGAAGGTAGGTGGCTAGACAGATGGATACATTACTCAATGACAAGGCAAGCTGACTAAGGAAATCTCTGCTTGCTAATTAAAACTCCTCTGACACTGCTCATCATTTTCTGCTAACGGCAACTTAAGCAATATTTTCAACAATACTTGTTATTGTCTTTCCTCTAAGTGACAAGCCACATTTATCTGTTGTGTTCAAGACCTTTTCCACATGAAAAAAAAAATCGCAAAACTAAACACAGTACAATGTTTTCTATAAGGTCAGACTTAGTTATTTCCATCTTTATTCTCACTGATTTACTGTGCTTGAGTCTGGAAGCAGCATGAAGTAGGTTTCCAAGAACCTCGTGGGGTATTTGGCTTGCTTTCCTTTCCTTTGATTGAGTCTTATTATCATACTGTACATTCATTCCTCCCACAGGCCACACAATGGTTACTGGATATCTGGAAGCAACTGCATTGTCAGTTCAATTGTTTGTATTATATTTACAGACTTTGCTTCTTTGTACCACTGAATGAAAGGGACTCTGAATCAGGGGCTATTAAATGAAATTACTGTATAGGCATATAATCATTGCAAGGAATGGGAAACAAAACCATAATTCTATACAAGCTTTGCTCTGTGTAAAGATTCCTTGAAATAGTTTTTGAAAAAGTCACAAAAGAGATATGCAATAATCCCTGTTAGACATACAGGTATAAAAATTGTGTCCTATCATTTGAAACAGAATAGTAAAATTATCACCACTTTAAACTGCTTGACATTAAATGAGGGCATCCACACACACCATGTCATTCATTGTCAAAATGACTCTGAGAGGTAAGCAGGCCATGTGTTTGAATCTACATTTTAAAGAGAGAAATCCAAGGCTTGGCTTTGAGAGGTTCTCAGACTTAATATCATACAAGCCAGTAGGAGTGTGTGTTTGATGACAGAACTGAAACCAAGCTCTCCTAAATTCTAGTTTTGTGGAAACTGAATTTAAACAAATTAAACCTTAATAACTGTCAGCATGCCTTGGGCATAAAAGTAATTGTCAGCATGCCTTGGGCGTAAAAGATAACCATTATTTTCCCACAGTAAATGCAAATGCATCATACCTGGTTTATTTCCTGAGTGGTTGTTATTTTGTCCTGAAATTGCAGAGGCAGGGCGGTTGGAGGCATTTTTCTTCTCTTGTACTTTATAGCTGTCGGGCGCTACAGAAATGAGACAAAAGAGAAAAGACACATTTAGTTTCTTAAAATTTCTTCAGAAACATTTACCTATTCAGCATTTATTGTTAACCTTTGTATCAGGTACTCAGGCTAGATTCAGGACTCGAAAAGACGAAGTAGTTACAACCCGTGCCCTCAAGGAGTAGGAAGGACACGTAAAAAAGAAATCAACAACTCGGCTTGAGTGACCAATGTTATAGAAGTGGCACGTTCAAAGGGCCATGAAGGGCCTTTCCTGTGGCTGTCCCAGTTTACACATAAAGCAACCACGTGGAAGCATGACTGGAGCCTAGAGTCTTTGATCTGAGTTCTTCCAAAGCACCATTGGCTTAGAATACATTTCAAATGTATTAATTTCTTTCTTGCTTTGGTATATTCAATATTGTTTAATCTTTCTTTGGGGTTACTAAGTCTCTTCAGTAGCCCCAGGTCCTGACAACAAACATCAACCCTAACTAAATATTATGTAACAGCAGACCATGGGGATTAAAAAGACTTCAATATATGTTTAGTACAAGCCACTTTTCTGAATAAGCCCTGATAAATGCTTTTGGGGGTGGGGTGCTGGAGGGAGGCTGTAGTTTGCTTTATTATGCTGAAATTCAACTTAAAAAACATTCAATTAAACAGGAGTTCTGGTTACTTGCACTCCAATTTATCTACATCTAACTTTTACTGGATCCATTCTAGGTGAACATTAGAGGCCTATCTGCCCACTTTATCTGTCTGGATGTTGGGAATTCATTTCCATCCCAGAAGACCTTCTGAGTCATATTCACCATGAGACAAAAGTAAAATCCATCTTAATACTTTTCTATGCTCATGTAAAATTGAAAGGTTAATTTTATGTTATTTTATTTTCCAATAAGCCTTTTGCATTAGTAACAATAGGTTAAATTTAGTAAAATAAAAATAATTTTTAAAAATTCTCAGGCTGTTTAAGATTATATATTGCTAATTCCTAACTGTTAGGCCGGATGTATTTCTAAAGTTTTCAGGCCATCTCTCTGCCTTCCTGTCAGTCTTTCTCTTCTGCTACTGTTTAAGGGTCTATATTTCTTCAAAAACTTCTTTGGTGAACATTGTAACAGCAAAAGACACAGACAGACCTGGGTTCAAATTTGAGACTTGGCACATAACCAGCTGAAAGGCCAGAAAGTTATTTGGCTTCTCTAAGTAGGTCACATGGGGTAATACTGCGTAACTCACAGAGTTGTTGGAAGGATTAACTGAGAAGATATGTGTTAAAAATCTACTATAAGCCTTGGCACACAGGAGGTGTTTATCAAGTATTCAAGGCCCTTTCTCCCAGTTTCTGTGCTCTTCCGTGGAGCCCTGGGCATCCCATACTCACAGCACCCATTCAGGTTACTGTGTTTTAGAGTCAGTACACCTGGCTCTGCCATTTACTAGCTGAATCCTCAGCATGTCACTTAACCTCTCTGAGTCTTAATTTCCCCATCTGTAAAGAAAACATCAACTTTCAGAGCTGTAAAAATTAAATGAGATAATGTACAGAAAGGTAGTTCACTGCCTGGCCCACAGCAAGGCATGATAAGTAGTAGAAAGTATTTTTAGCTCTCTTCAGGAAACTAGGCTTCTAATTCCTCAGGGATTTATGAGAAAGCAAACCTGTTAACTTGGTAACAGGGGCTCTGGGGGCAAGTGATTCATGTGACAGGAAGGTCTGGGTCAGCCGCTGGTTCCAGAGGTTTTCAGCTCAGCCACAACCATACCTCCTGGGGGCTCTCAGGTAGGGTGAACTTACTGGTATAATTGTTAGGGTATGGCCTGGCTTGGGAAGAGGTAATTAGTCTTTCTGATTCAAGGTTTAGGGAGATGACAGTTTTCTAAGATTTGATGCCTTTCATTTTATTAAGTAAATGTGAGCCTTAAAAAAAATTAATAACGAGAAGATAAAATAGAGGTTTTTTTTTTTTTTTTTTTTTTTTTTTTTTTTTTTTTTTTTTTTTTTTTTTTTTTTTTTTTTTTTTTTTTTTCTTTGTACAGGAGTACAGGGAATTTCACTACTTAAGAACACAATGACAGCAGGAATTTATTAATTCTGATTTCCAAAATTTAAAAACCTGAAAATCCTCATTAACTGGCAGATAGGATTGCATATACCCTTATAAAAGTTCTCATGGAAAAAAAATTAAAATGACTCAGATGACTTTCCAGTATTATTTATTTGAATCTCTCATCTTTCATTAAAAAAAAAAAGAAAGAAAGAAAATTAAGCCATATACTATGATGCTCGGTAAGTCTTTGCTAGCCTTATGAAATCTTCACTGATGGTCCTGCTAGCTTGAAAGCGTATTCCATTAGTGTCACATGTGAGTGTTGAAGTAAAAACAAGAGTAAGGATACAGACAAGCACCCTTGTGGCCTGGGACTCTCTTTCCAACATACTCTGAAACAAAATATGGAAGCATCAGACATTTGGAGCCTTCAGATAGTGAAAATTCTGTAGCTCTAGTAAGTGCTCCAAATGTGCCTGTACAATTCACATCCTCTGCCACTCACTGATTCCTTGCAACATCTCCCCACAAAGGCCTTGGCATTCCCAATGCTTTGTTTCTACTTTTGGCTGTATGGTCCAATACAGAGTCTTCTCTCAACTTCTCAAAACAACTGGTCCAATAAATGACCTGTCAATTCAGTCAAAACACTTGCTCTGAGACACTTAGGACTACAAGCTTTGCACCAGCCTGAGTTTAAATCTCATTGAATAATACGTGGACTTGACATCCACAAGGATAAAATAAAATCTGGAATGTGGGCTGGGAAACAGCAAAAGCCTAAACTCAATTCCCAGCTCTGCATAGTCCCTTATCCATGGGGAACTACTAGGTTCTCAAGATCCCCAGTGGATGCCTGAATTTATGGGTAGTACCAAATCCTATCTAGGCTATTTTTTTTTGGGTAACTGAGACAGCTCCTATGTGACTGACAGGTGGGCAGTGACTACAGTGTGGATCCACTGGACAAAGGGATGATTCACATCTCATCTCAGGCTCGACAGAGCGGGAGGGCATGGGATTTCATCACACTACTCAGAACAGCATAAAATTTATGAATTGTTTATTTCTGGAATTTTCCATGTAATATTTTTGGACCACAACTGACTGTAACTGAAACCTCAAAAAGTGAAATCATGGACAAGGAGGAACTACTGCGTACATGCTTCTCTGCTACAGTCTTCAATTGGACTTTGTGGGCATACAGCCCCTTTGTGGACATAATATACTGTGAGGACACAGCTTTGGGGGAGTGGCCTAGAACACAGAACCGGAGGTTGAACCACATGAAACAGTCTTTTATGTAGTAAAAAATGGTTAAAAATGAATAATTTTGTATGTTTCAATCTAATAGTTTAGGTAAATCTGTACAGAAAAGAGTTATCATATCAGGCCTGAGACTGCTGTCCTTTATTTTGTATATATTTATTCCTCAAATTTATTTATTCAAATATACCTGCTAGGAGTATTGTAACATTCGAATCATACATATGATGTGTTTTATCCAATGTGGTTTATAAAATTAGCATTACAACAAGAAAGAAACAAAGCAACAGCATCGCTCCTAATGACTTTTCTGATTATTCCACATAATAGAGAATTTCTCTTCAGTTTAAATTGCTCATAATTATAAGTGAAGTTGGGTAGTAATGATCAAAGCTCATGAGAGTTAGCATCAGACCTAGATTTCATTTCCCACACTACCTCAGTTTTCTTCCTACTTCCATTTATTCACACAGTACCCTACTCCATGGGACACTTTGAGCTCGATGCTGGAAGTAATATTATTAGGTGTATAATGTATCTCCTTCTACCACTTCTTTTTCCTTTTCTTGTCCTACGTTTCTAGGTTACACTGTATTCTGGAGCTTCTGATTCTTCCAATAACATCTCCTTTCTTCAAAAAGTCGTCTCCCATTATGTCCTGAAATACTATCTGTACGTCAGTCACCGTCAAGGATGCATTTATAAATATGCACTCTCAATAAAGTGTCCATCTTCAGCATCTAGGCAATATCTGCTTGTGTATTTCTGCTATCACTTGAACACCCTCACACAAAAAAGCCAATCGCCTAATGTCAGTCTCTTTGTCACCATCAACAGAACCACCATATTCCTAAGCTCAGAAATGTTAAGAATTTTTTTTTTTTAACAAACAATTACAAATATCTCCATTGGCCAGACACTGTGCTATGCAGTGAGAATACAAAGGTCATATGACATAGCATCTGCTTTCAAGATGCTTATCATTCTTTGGAGGAGACAGTGTGCACATACATGAAATTGCAGCAATAGACCGATTCAATTTTCTAAAAAACCCATAAACCACAGAGGTTTAATAACCAAATAAATAATATACCTAATGTTACAGGAATTTGGTGGTGGGAGAAGGAGCCACAAGGAACAGGAGTCCCTGGGCAAAGAGATTGCAGACCAGAAAGCACCTGGATAAGTGAAGAGTAACGTGGAGAAGTTCCCTTACTGGGGTGAAGCATAAGCAAAACTACCAAGGCAAAGAAACAGGAGAGACAATTGGGACTGTCTGGTTAGAACAGCAGGTTTAGGAAGAGAGGCAGCTGAAAATATGAGAAGAGAAACAGGCCAAGGTCAATGCCTCTTTGAATTCCGAGAGTGTGGACTTTTTCATGAAGGCAATGGAAAGTCACTGAAGTATATCACACGGAACTTCCAGCTGTGAACTACTTTACCTTCAATGGATTCTGTATAAATGAAAAGTGAAATCTAACAAGCCTGCTGGAAATGAATTTAAAAAGGATTTCTTCTTAAAGAAAACAATAAAAGGAAATCAGATTAAAAACAGACATCCTAAGAACTCTGCCTTCTATATAATTTAGTAACTAGTCAGATTCTTCCACTTACCCGTATCATGTACTAAGAGATAACTATTTGACCATTAAGTGGTAAAAAGTGACATGAACGAATATGGTGAAACTTATGTCT